CATTCAATCTTTGTAAGAAACCTGCAAATAGACATCATTATCCCTGTAAGAAAAGAGAAAACTGAGACCCAGAGAAGGCAAAGAACTTGCCTGATCAGATTGCACAGATAGCAAACTGCAGGGTGAAGACTTGAACTCAGATCCTCAGTCTCCAAATCCTATGACACTGCCCGCCCTTTTGTTTCTAACTACTTTTCCCTGCCAGGATTTATACTTAGTTTTCCCTGAAACATAGCCAAATGGCTATATTTAATACAAAGACAGGATAACCAGGTAACCCATTCAGCCTGAGCAGGGGAACTCTGGAAAGATAGGTGGTGGAGGATGTGGCAAGGTCAGCCACCTGTCTGGCTGTGCCATGTCAGTTTCACTGCTTTCTTGTCTTGCTGGTTCCACCCTCCTTCATTCTCCTCAGTCTACTACAGCACATGTTTTAAGAAGACTTGGAAAAAGACTAGAGACAGAAGAGAAAAGAGTCTTTTTCTCATCTGACAGAAGACCTGAGTAGGAAAAAGAAAGCTATGGGGAACATTCTTTTAATGTAGTGACGCACAAAATGGCATCTGGGCACTCAAGATTCCCTCCATCATCTGGTTCAACACTACCTTTGCAATCTTCTTTTCCCTATTACTATATGGGAAATGCATTCTGCACTGCGGTTAAATCATACTATCAGTCCATAAAGTAAATAGCATATAGAATCAGTTTTATCCCTGAAAAGCCTTTAAGCCAAAGCACAGGACATGCTCTTAGCACTCACCAGAGGTAGAGAAACCATGACCCACGGTGGGTTCCTCTTATCATCTCTCTCATGAACATGTCAGGACATAGAGTCACTGACTGTAACAGCCTGCATGCTTAATTTTTCTCTTTCTTCTATGTGGATCATATATGTGAACAAATACGCATCTCCCTCCAAAGTATGCTGAGATGTTCCATTGCCATGTGCTTGCTATTCTGTTTCCTTGATCTGGAATGTCCTTTGTCCAGACATCTTCCTACGTCCAGATGCTACCTCTTTGGGAAGTCATTCATGACCAGCTTTCTTCACCCCCAAGTTAGCAATAATCTGCACTTATCCCACATCAAATTGGTCTCTTTTAAGGACCTAAACATTAACCACCATATATCAAGTTCATCATATCATACTCACACATGACTTCCTACATACTTTGTGACAGCAGAATTCATGCCTGGCTCATCTTCGAATCCCCAGAGACTGTCGCAATGCCTGACACATAGTAGGTCCTCCTTACTTAATGAATGGATATTTATAAAGTAGCAATTCCAAGCCAACTTTATGTTTGAAAGACTCATTAAACATAATTAACGGTGACCGGATATCAACTGACTGGTGTCCCATCAGAAGCAAAGCATTTTCAGAGATGTGGCACCAGCAAAATGCACTGGTTAGGGCAGATAAACTGGAGACCTAAAACCACTGAAAGCCACTACTGTGGGGAACTCCCCATTTACTGTAGGAAAGGGGAGTGATCTGAAAGAAACCATTTCCTGCCCCACTTCACCACCTAGATTTTTATAATGGGACACAGAGAAAGGAAAGAAAAGAAGAAAAAAGAATTAGGAAAAAAAAAAAAAGAAAACCTTATGTTTGTGCAAACCACCAATATTGTTCAGATTCTTAACACTTCTCCAGCAAGCAAAACTGGTTAAACTTCTAAGATCCCATTTATATTTCATGAGTTCCTCCCTGTAGTTTAAGACACACAATTTTGGAATAAATCTTCTAAGGCAAATAGCCCAGCTGATATTCTACAATCACCTTTTATGAGCAATGGAGCTTGTTCAAAAGTCAAGATCTATAAGAGCCCAGATTCAAATGAAAATTAGTATCTAAACAGTGCACACTGTTTCTCAGACATCACCTTTTTTGCCATTTCCTGATGTTTTCACACATTTCAAACTCCCTTTCAACCAGCAAATCACAAGGAGAGTGCTGTGAAGTCCAACAACGAGAGGAGGCTCATCTTGTGGGTTATAACCACAGCACCTCTAACAATCTGCTCTGCACAGGCTGGCAGGAATGAGGGCAGGAACTGAATGAGGGTAGAGGACACCACCACTGTAAAGCTCCTGGCTCATTTTAAATGCCAGGTAAGTGTGGCTTAATTACTTTATTATCATGGTCCTCCTTTAATACTCTCTCTCAGGTGTCCAAGGAGATAGTCACTAAACATCCTGCCTTCTGAAGCCACCACCTGTTTCTTCATGCTACTGAGTTTGATTTTAGACTATCCAGGGTTCCCAGGAGGAAAGGGCAAGCATATGCCTAATTTGAGGGAGTTTCTGTCATCATAATCCAAGAGGGAATGTAGGTGAATTTTGTGTCTATTCCAAATCCAGTTTGGCTACATCATCGACCTCATTTCCTATAATCCTCACCACTACCCCATGAAACAGAAGTGTTTATCCCCATTTTACAGATGGGGAAACTGAGGTTCGGAGAGATGAAACACATTACTCAGTAGCACGTACTTGTTAAATATAGGACTTGGACATTAGAATCCTCGGATGCTAGGTTTTAAACTTCATGCTATTTCTGTCATGCCAGACTGCTTCCTTCCCCAGCAAATATCCACATAAATGGGCAACAGGCCGAACAGCTGTAACTATAGGGCACAGACAAATAGGGCTTAGGGAGAGGTTTGCCACCACCCTCCTCTTAAATCCTGCTCTATTCTTTGCACTGAACTGCTTAGTCTCTCTAGGTTGGGCCCGCTGGGCACATGTCCTGGTCTCCTAGTTATCTATTAATTTCCACTTAAGGGTAAAACAAACAAAGATGTAGTGTTCGGGGCAGGCTCTCCTCTGAACCACAGCCCTCATACCTCTTTCATCTTAGTTTCTTTCCCACTCTAATTTATGCTCAAACCAGTATAGATCTTTCTAGAATGGAAGCCTGGCCATTGTGCTTCTTTGAGCAGAACTGTCTGTGGAGACCCACTGCTCTCAAGATAAACTCTACCCCCTCACCTAGGTATGGAAGGCTCCTCAGCCCCTGCCCTACTCTTACCTATCAGACCAGTTGCAATTCTCATCACTCTATTTTTTTGTCATTTCCTTGAAACTTATGATAGTCATATTTTCATGGCTTTGACAAATTTTTATCTATGCCTAAACTCTCACTCTTTTCATTTAAGCCTGGGGATATGCTCTAGTTTTATGAAGCACCAGCTCCTGTGATTTCCTGTAAGAAGACCACCCCCACCTGCTGTCTTGCTGCCCCTGGGTACTTCGAATCCACTTCCATGTCTCCACTCAACACCTTATCGCTCTACATTACATGCAGTATCTTGCATGTCTGTCTCCACCAGGGATACGTGTTATCTTCTCTGAAAACCCAGTGACATGGAGTATGGTGCCTGGGTAAGTGAACATTTGCTGATGAACTAGAACTAGAACTAGACTCGACACCCTTATCTCTAGGATGTGGCAACATAATGGCTTTTTATTTTTATAGAAAGCCAAGGCTGGTTCTAGATTTTATTTTTTGTAATTTTAAGATGAGCTAAACTCCACAGTTTCTAGTTTTGAATGTTTAACGGTCCTAGGAAGAGCTAACTGGTTCTGAAATTGAGCTGCAGAGCTTTAGTTGCAAGGAAGGCTTGGAGTCAGTTTCATCACAGTCCTGCTGGAGTGATTGATATGCTTGTGCCCTAAATGTGCTTATTTTCTTTAGGTGCTCCAGTATGCCATTTGGAAATCCTCCACATGGAATCCATACTCTTTGGGACTGCCTTGGTTTTTGGTAATTGCTCTCTTGGAAATCTCTGATAGCCCCACCTAAAGAAGTGAGTTTCTCATCCAGGACAAAAGATCGGGAGGAAGTCAGGTTCTGATTGGAATGCTGAGGAAACAAACTGGTGTCTGATTCATAACTGCACGTGCACCATTTCCTTTTCTTTGCCTTCATGCAGACTGTCAAATGATAAACCAGCCTAGACTCCATGGTGTACAGACAGATCTTGCTTTAGTTATGGGATGTGGCCCAAGAAGATGCAAGTAAACGATGCGTGGGCAAAGCAATGCATATGTCTGATGAAGCAGAACGAAGGGGGGCATCTGTACTAGAGGACGCGTTTGGTCTTCTGGAAACCCATCATCAGCCAAGAATCCATCACATGGGAACTTCAGCCCTCAGTCCATCTTTTGGTCATATGCAAGCAAGTCCTGCACTTGCATCTGATCAAAGGGATAGGGATGAGCCCCAGGCCTGGCTGGCCTCCTCTGCCTTTGTCACTGCCTCCTCTAACCCCAGTCTGACTGAAAATGACAGGATCTCACGAGAAACTCAGAAGGTATGAAGGAGCAAAGGGAGCTGGGCTGGGGCCTCTGAAGCCGCAGGCAGATGTATTCTTTTTCTTGCTCATCATGCCTTCTGATCATCCTGCCTTGGGATCGTTCAGCTCCCAAAAGATAGAAAGGCAGAGACAGAGAGAGAGGCATAATATAGAAATTGAATATGTTATTATGTTTTATACTTTGTTTTTTAACTTTCGAAAACTGTTCAGTTGAGCCACTTTGGCTTTTTACAAGTATCTCTTTTTCTCTGTCTTTTGCTAATCAAAGTTATTAAAGCAAGTTGTGTTTTATATGCCTGTAGTTCTTTGGTTTTATTGGATCACTAGCCAATGACTGGGGAGAGGGGACAACTCATCACCTCTGTCCCACAGGAACGGGCTGGTTAAGGTAATTATCTTTGCAAAACCTTTGCAAAATAGCCCTGAAGCAGCCAGTCCAACTGTCAACAGAGCTCCAGTGAAAAGTTAGATTTTTATACCTTGGGTTTGTTGACAATGGTAACCCAATAGACTAGGGATCCTCTTTCCTAGAAGTTCATGACAAATCATAGATGCATATTTCTTTGTTTAAACTGGGTTAAACTTAGCAGATTTCAGGAAAGTGGTGACTGGGCCAGCATTTCCTTAACAAAGGAAAGGAGAGACTCCAGGATGTGGTTTTGGCAAGGTGGTGCTTACCTGTGATCATGCTCAGTGCTGACAGGCAGGCTAAGGCTTGGATATCAAGGTTCAGGCTCTGCAAATTTAAGGAAAAGTCTTTAATAGAGTCGAGCCACTCCCCAAATCCACGAAGGCACTGAAGTCGATGCAGGACAAGTCCATTGCAGAACACAAACTTATCTTCAGCAGTGTTTGACCTGGGGGGCAGGGAATGAGGAGAATAGATACATTAAATGGGTCTGTTCAGTCTGTCCAGCATGGTAACATCATGACACACAGGTACCCAGATAGTCACAGGGCAGTGGTCTGGAACCACCACAGCTCTGTGAAGCATGTTCAGACATCTGCAAAGACTAAGACTATGTTCTTGGGGATAAACAATCAGCACCATCTCTCTGTCCTTGGTAAGGATCAACCCAGAGGAAGATGGGGCTGTGGCACCTGCTGTCTTTTACTAGAATGGGATTCAGTTGCTGGCTTGCCCTGGGACAAGACATCGAGGAGCAGGCACTCACTGACTACAGAGGTGAAAGGAGCCTAATGCACTGCCTCAGTCTGCAATGAATATGAGATGTTCTTCAGGGCTCTGGAATGAGGGCTTGATTTTCATTTTCTTAAGTGTTAAAAACCTCTAAGGTCTGAGGCTAGACACTGCATTTCCATTGTGCAGACTCTTAAAACCCAAAGTCCTTGCAAGTGCCAAAAGTTAATTACATAGTAAAATGTGGCCTAATGTAAAACAAGTTTTTATTTTGTATTATCTTTTTCTTAAAGACATAGGGTCTCATTATGTTGCCTAGGCTAGCCTCAAACTCTAATTCCTGGGTTCTCTAGAGGTCCTCTAACCTCAGCCTCCAGAGTAGCTGCAATTATAGCCATGAGCCCCTGTACCCAGGTCCTTCTCAGTAGAGCTGCAGAGGCCTATTTCTAAACCTTCCCTGATCATTTATATTATGTACATAATCATCCCATTCTTTGTTCATGAAAGGCACCCTGGAACTTTCAGCTAGATGTCACCAATTAGTGGTGTGGCCCTGGACACTCCTTTAATCTCACTGGACTTCCTATTCCTTATTTATAAAACAGGAATTCCAATTGCTGCCTCCTTAAAATTGCACCTCCTAAGATGGAGAGAATTAAATAAAGGATTAGTTCCTAGCACTCTGGAAGGTCAAGCCAGGTAAATGGCCCGAGCTCAAGACTAGCCTGGGCAAAAGTGAAACCCTGCCTGTAAAAATAGCCAGGTGTTGTGGCGAGCGCCTGTAGTCCCAGCTACTTAGGAGGCTGAGGCAAGAGAATCACTTGAGCCAAACAGTTTGAAGTTTCTGGGAGCTAGGGGATACTAGGGGTCACTACCAAGGGTGACAAAGTGAGACTCTGTCTCAAAAATACATACATACATACATTAAGGATTAGAAAGCCCATGCATGGTGGCCAGTACACAGGAGGATTCAACAAGTTATTAGGTGTGACTAATTCTGAATTCTATGCGGTCCTTACTTTAATCTTAGCTTTCCTTTAACTTTCAAATCTTATGACACATATTTATCTATCTTGGCCTAGTGTATTCACAAGGCAATATCTCTGTAACTTTGCTTCTCAGATAAACAGGTTTATTCATTTCTTCATTCAGCAAGTATTGACTGAGCAACAAGCATGTGTCATTCTTGAAGACAGGCACTGGAGGAAACTTTGTGAATAAGACGTGTAAGTGCTGGCCTACATGGAGTATGCTGTCTACTTATTCCTGTGCTGTGTGCCTAAGAGATGACAGTCACATCACTGGCTCATCTCCGGTGTACACTGGACTGGCTATAAGTTAAGCTAATTATTGGTACCCTAGTTGTAGTCCATCTCTGTCTTTCCCATGGATCCCCCCTGCCCCCCAGAGAGCACACACAGGACAGAATTATTCAATCTTTAACCACCTAAGCCAGAATGAGACCCCATCTCTAAAACTAGCTGGGTGTTGTGCTGGGTGCCTGGAGTCCTAGCAACTTGGGAGGCTGAGGCAACAAAATCACCTGAGGCCAAGAGTTTGAGGTTGCTGTGAGCTATGACACTATGGCATTCAACTCTGGGGCAATGGCATGAGATACTATCTCAAAAAAAAAAAAAAAAGTTGACCTCAGACCATTGGCATCAGAATCACCAAAGCATATGAGTTAAAAATGCAGACTTCTGGACTTTCCCCAAGGCCTAGCAAATCAAAATAGCTGGGAATGAGGCATGAGAACCTGCACTTGGAACAGGATTTTCTGCTAACACAGTATGAAACTGGGAAGGGAGTGGTAAGAAGAGAAAGAGGGAAAAACGATGAGTTTTCCTATAATATTTGGTGCAATGTTAGTACCATCTCCTAAAAATATATAACGGAAAGGAAGCAAGGAAGATGAAATTAAACATGCTATGTGTGAAAATGAAAACAGTAATAAATACAGTTTTCTTCAAAAGCTACATGTGGAATTTATGAGAAGAGCTTAGATCTCAGATTCTAGCTTTTTGAAAAATCACTTCCTTTTTGTGTTTAATATCACTGAGTATATTGGACCAAATCTTTTGATCCAGCAGCTGTTCTCTGGGAGTAAACACTGGGGGTGAAGAAGCTGTGGGGACTCTATAGCACCCCATCAGGTAGAACAGTAATTTGTTAGACAGAAACCTGGGAGTTAAATGCAATGTGCCACAGCAAGTACAGTAGAACCTCCCACCGTTGACCACCTCCTTAAACTGACCTGATTTTTAGAGACTGGACATGCAACACTGTATGTATCAGTATAGGAGGCCAAGCTCCTTATGTGGACCAGTGTGTTACAGTCCCTGGGGGGGTCAACTTGCAGAGGTTCTACTGTCTTTACTCCCAGGAAATACCTTCCATGCTGTGAGAGTCTTTCCAAAAATCATAGAACATTGGAGTTGCAAGGGACTTCAGAGATCAACCCAATCCCAATCTCCTCATTCTAAAAAGGAGGGAATTGAGTCTGTGGTGAGGCAAGTAACCTGCCTTCCGGCAAGTCCATATTGAACCTGGGCCTGGAACCCAGGGGTCCTGGCTGCCAGTCCAATGCTCTTTCCATTTTGCATTGCTCAGCTTTTAATATTTCTGATCATATTTCATATTTGCTTCTTGAGCAAACCTTTCCCTGATGACTCAGTTGCAAAGACAGAAGGTTTCAAACTTCTTCAAAGGAAGGAGTAGACTGAGGGAAGAAAAAATAATAGTAATTACCTGATGGAAAGTCTGAGGACAAACAGCTCCAAAAAGGCTGATTCTATAAGTAATGTCTGATCTTCTTTGGGGAGATCAGTAAATCCCGGAATCTTTTCTGCCCAGCTTCTGGATACATCAATGGATGCTGTCAGAAGGTTGTAGAACTGTTGCACGTGCTCAGCGTCTGTGCCTGCACTGGCCTGGTCAGTGGGACAGTACTAGGAAGCAAACCAGAGACATTAGTATAATACCATTTGCAAATTGGCTCTTCTAAGCCTATCAATACTAAATTTTTGCTTTTAGGTCCTACAGTTGCCAAAACCCTTTCCCATGCACAATCTCATCTGATTCTCATGATGGGCCCGTGATATATTTAGAGCAAATTTTATCAGTCAATAGTGCTGTGCTGTTCAGTCTTGACTTTGCAGTGTAATCATATGGGGAGTTAAAAAACACTCCCCATATGATTGCAAAGTCCTACCCCTAGAGATTCTCATTTAATTGATCTGAGGTGGGCCCTTGGAGAAATTTTAAAAGCTTCTCCAGTGATTCCAAAGGCTACCCAACTGAGAACTCCTGCCCCAAGGGTTTGTGTCCTTGTGGATTTTCAGGATCTGCTGGTTCTACTGCAGCACAGTTGTCTCCCAACAAGATGATAAATTAACCCAGTGGTTCTCAAAGTGTGGTCTCCAGACTACCAGTATCAGCAATACTCAGATATGAGCTAGAAATGACCATCTCAGGCCCCACCCTAGACCTACTAAATTAGAAAATCTGGGGCTAGGCCTGCCAGACTTCAGGACTATCAGGTCCTTTTAAAATTTCTGGAGCCTAGGGCCCACCTCAGATCAATTAAATTAGAATCTCTGGGGGTAGGACTCTGCAATCATATGGGGAGTGTTTTTAACTCCCCATATGATTACAGTGCATAGTCAAGACTGCAAGTGTGGTTCAGACTCAATTCCCTATTAGGTGATTCTCATAAGCACTTCAATTAGAGACTCGTAGGATCAGCCAACAGGAAAAAGAATGATTTTTGCTTGCTGTTGAGGGATTTCTGTGAGATAAAACAAACCAGGAAGTGGTGGGACAGGAGGTCTCTTTAGCAGAACCGAGGAAGCTGTGTGTTATCCGACTCAAGACTTACGGATACTTAAATTAATGAAAAATAAATAAAATTTAAGACTCAGTCTTCTGTTATACTAGCCACATATCAGGTGCTCAATAGCCGATGATGGTGCAGAACATTTGAATCACTGAAGAAAGAGCTATTGGACAGGACTGATCTAGACAGAGTCCCAAGAGAAGAAGGGCACAGTGGGAATAAAGTCTCTACCCAGCTTTTGGATATTCTGGTAGATCCAGGGATTTTTTTTTTTTTTTTAACCACTGGAGAAAAAACTGTTCTGCTTCAGACAGGAAGACTGATACAGTGGGATAATTATCAAGGTATAACCAACAACACAGAGATTTAAGAGATATGCAGAAAGGCTCATGTAAATATGCACATCATTTCCTTCACATTAACACAGTGTGTGATTCTGCATCCCTCCTCTCAACTGATCCTCATGGAGCAGAGATTTTAATCTTTATTTTACAAATGAGAAAACTGAAGCTCAGAGAAGCCAAGAGAGTTTTCCTATTTACATAAACAGCAGTGGTACAGCCAGGACTTAAACCAGCCCTGTGATTTCAAGTCCTACCCCTCCTGGGTCTGAGTGTGTCTGATGTGACTGCTTGGTAGCCTGGGGGGTAGTTTTTGAAATCTTTAAAAAGCATTTTGCTTTTTTCTAATTGGAGTTCTTGAGGGATGTATTCATTGGCCCTATGTTTCTGTCAAGAGCACAGTGACTGGCACATAATTGGCCCTCAAGAACTAAAAGTTGAATATTTTTTAATGAAAGAATAGTCAGGGAATGTTTAGGTTTGCCACATACCCTAACCTGGCTGGAGAGAAGCAGCCAGTAAGTAGCTAGGTGTTTACTGCAGAGCTACCTAGGTGAGAGGACACGAAGCACTTGTTTTAATTTGGTCTTTTTTGGGTTTTGTGTTTTCCCAAGAAGCCGTATGAAGTAATTAAAGAAGCATCAGACAAAGAGCCCACCTACTTCTAATTCCAGTTTTGCTCTGGCCCTTAATTTGTGAAATACTGCAGTGTTATTTCACTTTTCTGAGCTTCAGTTTCTCCTCTGTAAAATGAAGAAAATAATATTTTCTTCAAGATTCTGTTGTGATGATGAAATTTGATAACATGTGAAATAGAACACAGTTAAAGAACGATGACAGTGATGATACTGAGAACAGTAAGAATACCTGCAACTATCACCATCTCTCAGCTTCTGTTTTTACAAAATGAGGAAATTGGTTGACACTGAAGGTTTCTATTTTCCAGCCCTGATTTTCTGAGCCCTGAATACTCAGTGATGTAAGATCATGGGAGCAAAATCCAGAACAAGGAAAGCAGTTCTCTTTCCCAAGGCTATTCAAAGATAGTGGCATGATCTCGGGTCAAAGATACCTTCCACTATGCTATACATACACTCTTAATGGGAAAAAGTAGAAAAAAAGTTTTTTTTTTTTTTTTTACTTTCTCCTTAATTATGAATCTAATTCTATAGATTTAGGCTCTCCAAGGGCAGGATGCAATTCAGGACAGATCTCTCTTTTAAAAATTGATAGCGCTCCATGTGAAACTCCCAAGCGAGTGGTAATATGGAGTAGAGGAGAGCAGGTCGTGGGGTCCTTGTCCAGACTCTGGCACTGACTTGCTGCACAGCTCGAGACAAGTCACTTATCCTGGGTCTGTTTCTGTCTCTGAAACAGCAATCACATACACTTGCTGAGTCCTTAAATCCCTTCTGACTCTTGCAGTCAGTGATTTTTTTTTTTTTTTTAAGAGACAGAGTCCCACTTTATTGCCCTCGGTAGAGTGCTATGGTATCACATCTCACAGCAACCTCCAGCTCTTGGGCTTAGGCGATTCTTTTGCCTCAGCCTCCCGAGTAGCTGGGACTACAGGTGCCCACCACAATGCCTGGCTATTTTTTGTTGCAGTTTGTCTGGGCTGGGTTTGAACCCGACACCCTCAGTATATGAGGCCAGCGCCCTATTCACTGAGCCATAGGCGCCGCCTGCAGTCAGTGATTTTAAATGTTGCTAAACCACACCAGGTTCAATGTTTCTGCCTACACTTGACACTGACCCAGCATTATTTTGTTTTAAAACAGTGGGTTAAATGGAGAGAACATGATCTAACTGCTCCCTTCTGCATTGACCTCCCTGAAACCAGGGCTCACAACTCGACAATCTCTCTTCCAGTATTTTTCAGAACCCACCAGAGCGCACAGCTTTCGCAGAGGGTCCTCTGCCCCTGCTGGGCTCACATTTCATGCCTCTTGCACACTAGGAAATGAAGTCCCTGCCTACCCTGTGTGTGTACTTTTCTCTGATGGAGCCCAGTAAGGAGGAACGTCAGCCAGCCCGGCTTGCCAGACTCCAGCCAGATCCTCTGGGCTTCACCTGCAATGTTCTGGTCCAAGTCCCAGAATTCTGGAGCCAAACTGGATTCAGCCTGAGCCACCAGTATCTTGGGGGTGACTGGAGGGTCAGCATCCAATTCTGGAGGAAAAGAAAAACTCCTCTATTGGACATAAGATTTAATGAAATGGAACACAACATTTAGATTCCTTCTCTGCCTTGCTTAGCAGGTTAGAATACTGGATCTGAAATTGGAAGAAACGGACCCCCAGTTCTATTACTATGCTCCCTTACATTGCTAGATAGGTTTGGGATTCAACAGGGGAAAATGTGGACTTTTTTAAAAAATTAAATCATAACTGTGTACAATAATGCAATCATGGGGTACAATGTGCTGGTTTTATATACAATTTGAAATGTCTTCATCAAACTGGTTAACATCGCCTTCACAGCATTTTCTTAGTTATTGTGTTAAGACATTTATATTCTACAACTACTAAATTTCACATGTACCCTTGTAAGATGCACCGTAGGTGTGGTCCCACCAATTACTCTCCCTCCACCCATCCTTGGACTGTTTTTTTAATCAACCATGCCAATTGGACATAGGCAAAATATAAAAATATTTTTTTTAATAATTTTTTTTCCTGTTTATGCTAATTTTCTTTTCAGCCTATACAGATCATTGATCCATCAATACTCTGGCTTTCCCACTAGTCAAAGACACAATATTATATTCTAACAGCCAATACCTAATGAAGATTTCTTCTAACCATCTAGAATAAGGATTTAGAGTTGCAAAAAACAGTAATGGATATTATTTAAACTAAAGGGAGTCTGCACATCCCTTATGGCAATAGCATCGCCATACAGGTCAGGCTTCAACAACAGCCTAGGTCTAAAGTAAGTTATTTGTATAGGAATTAAGTGAGACCCTCAGAGAACACTGACCCTAAAAAATGATCAACATGAGGTTTTAATAGCACCATGGAAGCTGTATTTTCTCTATCTCACTTTCAGCCCTGGCTGAAACATAGCCTAAGGACATGTTTTTCTTCCCCATTTCTCTGGGTCTTCATATCTCTAAAAATTATAAATATGATCATTCTATGAGTCAAACTATGTATACATATTCCTAGGTTCTTACACTTTAAAAAGTGACATTTTAAAAAATTGGCAGTGAATATATTCCCCTCCAATTTTTTCTTTTGTAGTCTAACTCCATGCTCCCTCCCCCCCCAAAATAAAAAACCTAAACCAGAAGACTCTTCTCCTCCTACTAGTAGCATCAATGCAAATACATTTTACTTTATATATAGGTTTACATATATAGAGGGTGGCCAGAAAGTTTATGTGCAATTTAATATTGTACACTATTTTGTATGTATACCTGTATATATGTTTACTTTATTCCTCCTTCATTGGAGTGTAAGTTGCATGAGGAGAGGAACTGGTCTTCTTCAACAGTGTATCCACTGGAACTCGTCTTGTTCAACAGTGTGTCTACTGCCCTAGAACAGCACCTGACATCCACCAGCCATTCAATAAATATTTGTTACTTACTTTCTGGAAAATTTATATCTCATTGCTCATCCTTCCCCAGCCCCAAGCAAAGCTGGAAAATTCACATTAAGATGGAATTGTTATTAAACTATACTGATAGTTCCCAAATCTTACTGTGGTCTGGGTCTGAGCTGCAAACCTGCATTTTAAACGATTACTCATAATTCTTTCTGGTAGT